TCTTGGCAGCATGTAAGAGCAGGTTGAGGAAAACGAAGGTTCAGCCAAGCGAGCAATAGTCTAGAAAGTCATCCTATGAGAAGGCCATGTTAGGGGTCACAAACTCAGCCAAAGAACTGACTTTGGCCCACAGATATTTTTGTCTCAGTGCTAGTTGGCGGGTTCTCAATATTTTTCAGTTAATTGCCAACATTCAACTTTGGAAAAGCTTACATAAAAACTCTGATTTTTGTCATGAAATATAGCGGTGTGTGTGTGTGTGTGTGTGTGTGTGTGTGTGTGTGTGTGTGTGTGTGTGTGTGTTTCTAGGCATTGAACCTAGGGTCTCATACTTGCTAGGCAAGAGCTCTACCACTGAGCTATATCCACCATTCCTCAATATATACTATTGGTTTGTTTTTGAGACAGGATCTTATGCCGATCAGGCTGGCCTAGAACTCACTATGTATTATTGGATGAGATTGCTCTCAAGCTCACTGTGTAGCTGAGGAGGACCTTACATTTCTGATCTTCTTGCCTTCACCTCCTGAGTGCTAGGATTAAGGTGAGTGCCCCTGTGTTCTGTTTATGAAACAATGGGGGTCAAACCCTGGGTTTCCTGCACGCTAGCCAAGCACTGCCCTGAATTTCATACTCAGCCATCTTCTACCTTTTGACACACCCATGCTTATCACTAGTCCATGAAGTTAGCAAATGTTTACTGATACTGTAGCTTAGTAAGAAGCAACGGGGGGGGGGAAGGGGGGAAGTAAGATCACTTGGTTAGTAAAGGTGCTTGCGGCCAAACCTGATGGCCCGTGTTTGGTCCCTGGGACCCACATGGTGGGAGGAGGGAACTGATTCCCAAAAGTTGTCCAAATACACACATGTGTACACACACACATACACAAAATAATATAACAACAACAGCAATAAGAAAAGAAATAAAGGGTCCAAGTGGGAGGCTGAAATGATACCCACAGGAAATTGTGGGAAGAAGAAAGCAATTCTAACACATGTGTTTTCTTTCCTTCTAACCGTTTTCCATTGATCCGGTCTACTGAAGTGATTCACTGAGAAATGCTAACCTAGATGGAATGTATAAACTAAGAGAAACACAAATCTTGGTTTTAAATGAACATTTTTTCCTAGATCTGGATTAAGAAACAGCACAGTTGTTTTTTGTTTGTTTTGTGGCTGCTGTGGTTTGCCTGCTGGGCCAAACAGAAGCTTCCTTTTATGTAAGGATGGAGACAAGCCACTCACCTAGTCAACCAAAGAGTTAATGAAAGGGAAGAAAGGGAGAGAATGGATGGAAAGGAGACAATGGTGGCTCTCTAGGAGAGAAGAAAATCAGGCAGCAAGGAGAGGTAGGCCCTTTATGAATGACCACATTTTGTTAGTATGAAGAGATGAACAGAACCATAAGGGTTAGGCAAGGGGACACCAGTGTCTCTGTTGTAAAGGTACAAGTGCACAACTTTGGAAGCCAGAGAGGAGAAAGAGGCTACCATTGGCTTCTGCCAAGTCCATCCCTTCCCCCAGCCTTTTCTCCCCCTCCCCTCACCCGGAAGGTCCTTTCTCCTCATTCTGCCTATCTAATCTTGCAGTCTCAGATATGATGAAAGCTCCCAGGCTCTCACAATATCCCCAGGCCCTTCCTCCCCAGCCTCTCCTCCCAGGTCCTTTCTCCCCAGCCTCCTCCTCCCCAGCCCCTCCTCCTCAATCCCTCCTCCCCAGCTCCCTCTCCCAGACCCCTCCTCCCCAGGCCCCTTCTCCCCAATCCCTCCTCCCCAGGCCCTTCCTCCCCAATCCCTCCTCTCCAGACCCTTCCCCCCTAACCCCTCCTCCCCAAGCCCCTCCTCCCCAGGGCCCTCCTTTAGCACAGCTGCTGTGTGCCTTACAAGTCTCACTAGATTGAGCATATTGTCCTGGAAGAATCTTGTCTGTGTGTATTATAAAACCCCTTGTAAACTCCTTGAGAACAAGGGCCGTTTCTTCTGTTCCCGCTTCATCTCCCATAGTGTGGATGGCCCAAGAGACCCTCTGTATGGCCCTGCTGCCTCACAGACTGGAGAGTTCAGTTCAGCTCTCAAGCTCTTGCCAGCAACGCAAAGGGTGCACAATAAAGTCCTTTCACTATTAAGCGACAGATTCAAAGATAGAGGGGCTGAGAAAGCACACACACAGAATCCTTGTCTCACGTCTCTCCTGGGAGTCAGAGCCTGGAAGCCTCAGGTTAGATGTGGAAGTAACTTTGATATACTGTATGTGGTGGCACATTAGTATTTCATTTCGATGGAATATATAAACTAGTTGATAAAAACATGGAACTGGCAATGTTCCTCAGCTTTTGTTTAACATCCTCAGGGTCTGGAGTCCTGGTGTAGTGGAGACCTGGAGTCCTAGGTCAACACTACCAAAAAACAAAAACAAACAACCAAACCAAACCAAAACACAGAAAAAAAAACAATAAATAGTAAGTTTTGGGTCACATGAAAGGACCAAAAAAGGTAAAGATTTTTTTGTAGGCCATAAAGTCATTAGTTGGTATTTCTTAAAGCTCTCTCCTGTCATGTTTATAGTCAAGAGTTCATAGGGGGAAATCATTGTTTTTCATATTTTAATGTTGACAGTGCTACCAGAAGAGAAAGTATCTCTTAGGCCATCAGCATTATGGGAGATGAAGCAGGAACAGAAGAAACGGCCCTTGTTCTTGAGTTTACAAGGGGTTTTATAATACACACGGACAAGAGCTGGGCAGTGGTGGTGCATGCCTTTAATCCCAGCACTCAGGAGGCAGAGGCAGGAGGATCTCTGTGAGTTGGAGACCAGCCTGGTCTACAAGAGTGAGTTCCAGGACAGTCTCCAAAAGCCACAGATAAACCCTGTTTCTAAAAACAAACAAAACAAAAAACACAGACAAGATTCCTTCCAGCCCCCCTCTGCCCCCCCCTTCCCACCTTTCTCTCTAGCCGGGGCCTCGATATGTAGCCCTAGATGGCCTTGAGCTCACAGAGATCTGTCTGCCTCTGCCTCTCAAATGGTGGAATTAAAGGCATGAGCCACCATGCTCAGCCATCTGCCATTATTTCCATTGCTGAGTGTTTCAGTGCTTTTTTAGGGTATAAATAGCAACCAGTACTTAGGAAGGAGAGCTAGATTCACACCTCTCTTATATTCTGAGTTTCTCCTTTCTCCACGGCTATTTTGGGTATCAAGTGCACTTATAGAATTCCATCTTCTGACACAGATACAGACTTAAGCTGTTCCGAGATGTCGAGATGCCTAAATCTTTAAAGCATTACATATACTGAAGAGAATTCATGAGGATTGTCCGCCAGCCTGGGGAAGTTCTGGAGTGTGTCCTAGGGATCTAAAAGTGTCCACACCCAGAAGTGCATCGTGAAGTGGTCATGTCAGCTCTTTTATTTTTTTGTAATGGTCCTGTAATATTACCTGTATATTTCCCTGTGGGCTGCAGTTAAGCAACTTTCTGTAGAGCAAAACTGAACATAAAGGGGCTGGAAAGATGGCTCAGTGGTTAAGAGCACTGACTTTTCTTCCAGAGGTCCTGAGTTCAATTCCCAGCAACCACATGGTGGTTCACAATCATCTGTAATGAGATCTGGTGCCCTCTTCTGGCCTGCAGGGATACACACAGACAGAACACTGTAGACATAACAAATAAATAAATCTTTAAACAAAAAACTGAACATGAAGACATACACATACATTTAGACACACACACACTATCTGGGAGGTTTTTTAAACAAACAAGGTACCAGTCTGGACTTCAGAGAGCAATTTGTGTATCTTGTGAAAGATTCTGAGTCTTTTTTGGGGGGGTTTCTCTGTATTGCTTTGGAGCCTGCCCTAGAACTCGCTCTGTAGCCCAAGCTGGCTTCGAACTCAGAGATCTGCCTGCCTCTGCCTCCCCAGTGCTGGGATTAAAGGTGTGTGCCACCAACACCAGTTGATTCTGAGTCTGTTATACTCCTTGAGTAAGATTTATAGGTCTGACATGTATATAGGATGTGACCTTTCAGGTATGGGCAGAAATGCACTCTGTCACTTAGTGTGGAGCCAACATTCTTTAATACCGTGTAATTACAGTGCACAAGAAGAAACCAAGTAGTAAGCCAAGGCTGGTGGCACAGTTCTGTAATCCCATCTATTAGGGAGGCCAAGAGAAAATTGTGTCTGGATGAGTGTTGGTGGCTCACACCTTTAGTCACAGCACACGGGAGGCAGAGGCAGGAGGATATCTGTGAGTTCAATGCCAGCCTAGTCTACAAGAACTAGTTCCAGGACAGCCACCAAGGCCACAGAGAAACCCTGTCTCGAAACCACCCCCCTCAAAAATGAGTGAGGTCAACAATGCCAGTCTGGACAACTGAGTAAACACTGTCTCAAAACTTCAAAAAGTTAAAAAGGGTCAGGGATGGTGGCACATGCCTTTAATCTTAGCACTTGGGAGACAGAGATAGGCTCTTCTCTTGAAGCTAGCCAAATCTACGTAGAGAATTCCAGACCAGTCAGGGCTATGTGATAAGACCCCCATCTTAAATATGTGCACACGCATATACCCAGTGCTAGTCTTCAACTCAGTGGTAGAGAACTATCCTCTAATGTATGAGGTCCTATATTCAATCTCTAGTAACCTCCCTTTCCCCCATAAAAAATGATACTAGAGTAATCAATCAGATATGGAGGTATACACCTGTAGTGCCATACTCTGGAGGTTGAGGCAGGAAGATCTCGAGTTCATATTGAGCCTGGACTATATAGTACATTCCACGCCAGCATAGGCTACATAGCAGCACCTAGTCTCAAAAAATAGTAATAAGCTTGGCATGGTGATACTCACCTTTAATCCTAGCGCTTGGGAGGCAGGAGCAGGTGGATTTCTGTGAACTTGAGGTCACCCTGGTCTACACAGTGAGGTTCAGGACATCCAGGGCTATGTAGAGAGACCCTATCTAAAATAGTAATAATAATAATAACAACAACAACAATAGTAAAGCTTATTGATAAATAGTTTATCTTTGTAAACATTTCGAGAACATTGTACAGTAACAGTGGAAGAGACAGTGTGGTCTGTCCACTGCTGTCACTATCTAAGAGCAGGAGAAGCAGTCAGCCTAGACAGGGCAGCTTTCCCCGATGGAGAGAAGATGGGTGCTAGAAAACAATCTTCTCTGAATAATTTGCCCAGCTAGAGATCTGTGTCGGATCCAAAGGGCCCTCTTTCAATCCTTTTTTCCCGGGCAGTCCGTAGATCCCTGAAAAACGGTGAGCGACTTCTGTGTGCGGAGAATTGTACAACATGACTCCTTAGCCAGGGACTCGGCATTTGGGGCCGCACACTCTGCAGAGAAATATTAACATACAGTCCTGAGTGAGAAAGCAGACCAATTTAACCCAGGTTGCCAGAGTAGCTAGAAGCTATTAAATTCAATAAGAAGCTAGAAGCCTGTCTCCCTTGACTCTGGCCAGCCTAATGTGGAGAAGCCTGAATTGCTCAGTTAACAAGGTTTGACCATTTGCATGGCAATTTGAAGGGCTAGCTTGCTTATTTATTGTTCGCTGTTTGATCCCAGGTATTGAATCCTGAAAGTTGCCCTCTGACTTCTACATGCCTGCAGGTCCTGGTTAATTTTATGTCACCTTGACACAAGCTAGTCATCTGAGAGGAAGGAACCTCAATGGATAAAATGCCACCTGAAGATCAGGCTGTCTTTTTTTTTTTTTTTTTTTTTGGTTTTACGAGACAAGGTTTCTCTGTACTGTTTTGGAGGCTGTCGGTCCAGCCTGGCCTCGAACTCACAGAGATCCGCCTGCCTCTGCCTCCTGAGTGCTGGGGTTAAAGGCGTGCACCACCACTGCCCGGCCAGGCTGTCTCTTAATGCACAGTTTTGGAGAAAATGTCTTCACAAGGTCAGGCTCTTTTTTTTGTTGTTGTTTTTGGTTTTTGTTGTTGTTGTTTTTCAAGACAGGGTTTCTCTGTGTAGCTTTGGAGACTGTCCTGGAACTAACTCTGTAGACCAGGCTGGCCTTGAACTCACAGAGATCCACCTGCCTCTGCCTCCTGGGATTAAAGCCATGCGCCACCAATACCCAGCCCAGGCTGTCTCTTAATGTGCAGTTTTGAAACCATAAGTAATGAGCATTTGTGTAATATATTTGTATACATGGAATTTTTTGGGGGAGGGGTACAGGGTCTCATTATTTTGCCCAGGTGGGTCTGGAACCTGTGAGCTCATGGGATCCTCTTTCTTCAACTTTCCAAATAATTTAAACTAAAGAGCACATCCTAGAAATGACTTTTTAATTTTCTATTCTTTAATTTGTTCGTTTAAGCTGTATCTTACTATGTATGTGTGTGACTATATGACTACAGGTATGTATGAACACACATGTATGCAGGTGTCCTATGAGGGCCAGAAGAGGGTTTCGGATCTTCTGGAGCTGGAGTTAGATGAGCACTTGTGAGTCATCTACTTGAGTTCTTGTCCCCTGAAAGAGCAGTACTCATTCTTAACTGCTGAGCCATCTTGTTTTGAAAAGATAGCTTACTGGAAGTGGAAGTACTTGATGAAATATAACGGTGATCTGTCCTCCAAAGTTTATATTAGGATTTATCAATAATAATCACTGTTAGAGTACCATGATATAATGCTTCCCTCATTCTTTCACATTATGTATAGATGTATGTAAGAACACATCAATATATACATATACACTGGCCCATGTAAGTCATAGACAAACCCTGATGTGAGGCTTATTTTGCCTGCTTTCCCTCCCCCTAGTCCCATTCATAAACATATTACAGAGCCAAGTGTGATGACTCTTGCCTGTAATCTCAGCGCTGAGAAGGCTGAGTGAAGTAAAAGGATCTCCATGAACTTGAGGCCAGCCTGGCTACATAGTGAGTTCCAATCTGGGCTACAGTGTAAGAGCCTATCTCACAGCAGCAACCTCCCCAATATACTAAGGACATCATTGCAAGCCACTCAGCATTATGCACGTATGGAAATGGTTATTAATAGCTGCTTCTGTAGTGGGAACTAAGTAGAGCCACAGGAAAAGTGATGAAATTAAAGATAAGGCAGATCCCAAAAGGCAACTCCCAGCTACAGGGGAAATGAGAAGACAGAGATAGCAGCACGACCCTTTATTTAAGGAAATCACGACGCGTTCAAAAAAGAAAAGGATGAGGTCACAGGAAAGGCTGGGAGGAGAAGATATTTGCACAGAATGTGGAAATGACAAACTTCGAGTCTTGTAGTGGTTAAACACAGGCCTCTCTGCTCTGCAGGCAGAAAAGACCAGTATATCCCCAAGTTCACATCTGCTTTGTCCTTTGTCACCTGGAAAGCACTCTTTTTGAAAAGATAATTCAATTTCCATCATCAAATATGACCTGCCCTTTGTCTGCATCTAACCAGGAGACCTAACACCAGGGTTCGTACAGCATACTCTATGTCATCTAGCCAGGAGACCTAACACCAGGGTTTGTAGAGCATACTCTATGTCATCTAGGAAGGAGACCTAACACCAGGGTTCATAGAGCATACTCTATGTCATCTAGGAAGGAGACCTAACACCAGGGTTTGTACAGCATACTCTATGTCATCTAACCAGGAGACCTAACACCAGGGTTCGTACAGCATACTCTATGTCATCTAGCCAGGAGACCTAACACCAGGGTTTGTAGAGCATACTCTATGTCATCTAGGAAGGAGACCTAACACCAGGGTTTGTACAGCATACTCTATGTCATCTAACCAGGAGACCTAACACCAGGGTTCGTACAGCATACTCTATGTCATCTAGCCAGGAGACCTAACACCAGGGTTCGTACAGCATACTCTATGTCATCTAGGAAGGAAGCTCTCAGGGCTAGAGGGGAGTGTGGTGAGGTGCCTGCTGAGCAAGCATGATGACTTGAGTTTGGATCCTCACTACCCACATGACAAGCCAGGCTTGCAGGCCCAGTACTGGGAAGGCAAAGATAGAAGGATCCCTGGAGCTCACTAGCTAGGTTCAGTGAGAAATCCTACCCAAAAGTAAAATGGTGACTAAGGATGACACCTGACCTTATCCTCTGGCCTCCACACACACATACACACACACGCACACACACACACACACACACACACACACACACACACACGCACGCACGCATGCACACACACACACACACTTTAAAAAGGAAGAAGGGACCCGGAGAGGTGGCTCACTCATTAAAAAACACTAACGGGGGGGGGGCAGGAGAAGGGACTCAGACGATAAGAGCCCTGGCTGCTCTTTCAGAGGTCCTGAGTTCAATTCCCAGCAGCCATAGTGTGGCTCACAAACATCAGTAATGAGATATGGTGCCCTCTTCTGCCCTGTGGGCATACAGACAGGGCATACATTTATTTATGTATACTAAATAAATAAACCTAACATGTTTTTGGAAAAAGATCTGGTGCACTCTTCTGCCTTCAGGCATACAAGCAGGCAGAACACTGTATATAAATAAAGAAGAAAATCTTTCAGAGGACCCAGATTCAATTCCCAATTCAATACCCTGACTATTACCTGGCAGCTCACAACTAGCCATAATTTCAGTTCTTCTAGACATATGTGGTACACAGACACACACTCAGGCAAAACACCCATACACATGAAATAAATCTCAAAAATATTTTAGATTAAACTAAGAAAGCATTAACAGTGGTTGTTAAAAAGGGAAAGCTAAGCAGGGCATTGGTGGCACACGCCTTTAATCCCAGCACTCGGGAGGCAGAGGCAGGTGGATCTCTGAGTTCGAGGCCAGCCTCCAAAACAATATAGAGAAACCATGTCTCGAAAAACAAAACAAAACAAAAAAGAAACTGTTTTAAAAAAACAAAATAAATAAACAAATAAATGAAAAGGGAAGACTATCCCCTCCCCCCAGGCCCCTGCAGCCTCCTACTAAGGCCCCGAACTTGGTAGGACCCTGGTTGCTTTAAGCCCCCCACGCCTCTGCCTCCTCTGCACTGAGCAGTCCCTTTACAACCTCTCCTGGTGACTTTGTCTGATACCGTCCTCTACTAATTTTGTCACAATAATTTCTGCCTCCTGTGACAAAAATACCTGAAAAGAAACAACTTCAGGAGGTGGGGTTTACGTGGTTTACAGCCCATCGTGGTAGGGAAGGGTGGGCGCAAGCGCAGGAAGCAGCCAATCACACCTCATCACAGTCAGGAAGCAGAGAGTAAAGGCTTTTTCCTCCTTACCCAAAGAGACCCCACCCAGTGGGCGGTGCTGCCCTCAGTTGGAGTGGGTCTACTTCAGCCTAATCTAAACAATCCCTCACAGTCCTGCCCGGAGGCTGCTCTCGGTAGTGGTTCTAGATCCTGTCGAGTTGAGGACGTTAACCAACACAGATGCAAGTCAATTCACTTAGGCTTCCATGGGGTGTATGTAAAAATCATTTAAACCGCCTAACTCCCTATGCCACCCTGCCACAATCAAAAACTCTGTTCTGCCAGGCATGGTGGTACACACACACATGTGCTACACACATGTTGTGCCCAAATTCTGAACCCCCAAATCACCAAGAGACCCATTCCGATGTGAAAGCAAAGAGTCTTATTGTTTAACGAGCTAACCCCACTAACTCGGGCCCTTGGTCAGTTCAACATGGAGGCTGGCATGAGAAGGGCTGGGAGAAACTGAGAGGCAGGGAGCTTATTGGGCAGCGTAAGGGGAGTGTCTAGTATGCAACAGTCAGTCTCAGCACTGGTGCGCTTCTGAGCTTGGACAACCTGTCCCGTGTTGATTGGCCAACTAGTTGTTATGGCCTGTAGGCCCTCCCAGGGCCGTGGCTACGCTCTGCACTCCACTGTTAACACCACCTCTTCCATAAAGCATGCCCAGAGTGGCAAAGCACATCCAGAGCCCACCAGCTCACTTCTGATTGGTTCCTTGCCACAAGGAGGGTACCTGACCTCCTAGTGACTAGGGCAAGCCCAGCAGGGTCGGGCATGGGCTGAGTCAGAGGCCTGGTGTCTTTTCTGCAGCCTGTCATGGCTGCTAAAGCAGGGGCTGAGTGAGGGTCTGGTGGTGTCCTCCAGCACACGAATGCATGCAGAGCAGAGTCTGCTGGGGGCTGGAGAGACCACTCAGTGGTTAAAGACCGTTTACTGCTCCATCAAAGGACCAGACATGGGACTCCACAAACGACTGTACTCCAGCTCCACGGGATCTGGCACTCCCTTCTGGTCTCTGTGGGGACACACACACCCTTAGAAAAAAAGTCAGAACCTTGAAAAAGAGGAGGAGAAACAGAAACCACCTACCTACTGGACAAGACAAGCTTGTCATCTCAGGTTGAGGCAAGAGGACCTGGAGTTTGAGGCCAGGCTGGACTATGAAGGAAAACACTGACAACCTTGCTTTTCAGAGAAAGAAAAGAATATTGATTACTAGGGTCTCACCCTGTAACCTCAGCCTTCTAAATGCTGGGGTTACAGGCATGAACCACCTTATCTAGCAAGGATTTGTGGTTGAGGAAGGAGAGAAATGAAATGGAGAAAGGCTTAACAATGAAGGTGTTGTTTTTTTTTTTCCCCTTTTGTTTTTGCTCCCCGACTGTCATCCCAAGGAATTTCTCTGTGTAACAGCTCTGGCTGTCCTGAAACTCCCTTGGTAGACCGGGCTAGCCACAAACTCAGAGCTCCGCCTGTCTCTGCCTCGGAAGTGCAAGGATTAAAGGCGTGCGCATCCACGGCCTGGCCAACAGTGAAGTTTTCTGCAGTGAAGAGAACAGAGCTGATACTTAGAGATCAGACTTTGTCTTCATTCATTCTACCAGGAAATGGCTGAGGAACAAAAACTCCTGCCACAAAACTGACTGGAGAAAGCAGATTAAAAAGGAGGAAGCAGGATGCCTGGCATTGGTGGCGCACGTCTTTAATCCCAGCACTCTGGAAGTAGAGGCAGGCAGATCTCTGTCAATTCAAGGCCAGGATAGGCTCCAAAGCTACACAGAGAAACCCTGGCTCGAAAAACCAAAAAAAAAAAAAAAGAGGAATGAAGTTGCTTTCTTCTGGAATTCCTCGTGCCTTGTTTTCTTAAACTGCTCGGTCAACAAGGAATCTCGACCGGGTAAGGATTTTTGCCTTTCCAGTGTGGTGTGAACCTCGCTGCACTAACCTGGAAGCGGAAGGACCCGGGAGGAAGGTAGGCGTGGCCTACGTAGGGGCGGTTAGAGGGAGGAGCCTCTTCCTATAGAGCCGCGCGGCGGCGGGAGCGGAGTCGGCTGTCTCCAGCGCTGTACCGCCCCGCCATGGATGGGCTACAGAACAGCGCGGCGCTGCTGCGGCGCGGGCCCGGGAGGCGCCGGCGTCAGCCGCAGCTTCGCGGTGGGTCGGTCTTGGCCCTGCCCTTGCGACCCCGGAAGATCCGAAGGCACCGGAAAAGTGCGGCGTCCCGCGTGGCCGCGCTGAGGGCTCGCGCGCTGCCGAGCGGGGACGCGGACTCGGACTCAAAGGTGGAGCCGGCCGCGGGCGAGCGGGAGGGGCCTGCGGAGCGGCGGGAGAGCTCGCGGCCGGCCGAGCCGCGCCGCGGGGAGGGGCGGGCCGCACGCTCCCGAGACCCGTGGACCCCGGTTGGGCTCCCGGGCCCGCACGTGAATGGCGCGGAGGGGCCCTGGGACTCGCCGCTGCGGCAGGTGTTGACGGAACTGGACGGCGTCCCCAGCAGCCGGAGGCGCGCCGCCCGCCTCTTCGAGTGGCTCCTGGCGCCCATGCCTCCCGACCACTTCTACCGGCGCCTGTGGGAGCGGGAGGCGGTGCTGGTGCGGCGGCAGGACCGCAACTACTACAAAGGCCTGTTCTCGACTGCCGAGTTGAACTCGATTCTGCGCCACCAGGACGTACACTTCGGGCAGCACCTGGACGCCGCGCGCTACGTCGACGGGAGGCGGGAAACCTTGAACCCTCCGGGCCGCGCTCTTCCCGCCACCGCGTGGTCCCTCTACCAGGCCGGCTGCTCCTTGCGCCTTCTCTGCCCGCAGGCTTTCTCCTACACCGTGTGGAAGTTTCTGGCCATGCTCCAGGAACAGTTTGGAAGCATGGCCGGCTCCAACGTCTACCTCACGCCCCCCAACTCACAGGGCTTTGCTCCCCACTACGACGACATCGAGGCTTTCGTGTTGCAGCTGGAAGGCCGGAAGCTCTGGCGTGTCTACCGACCGCGGGACCCAAGTGAGGAGCTCGCTCTGACTTCTAGCCCCAACTTCAGCCAGGAGGACCTTGGTGAGCCGGTGCTACAAACCGTGCTGGAACCTGGAGACCTGCTTTATTTTCCTCGGGGCTTCATTCACCAAGCTGAATGTCAGGACGGAGACCACTCCCTGCACCTCACCCTGTCCACCTACCAGCGCAATACATGGGGTGACTTCTTGGAGGCTTTACTGCCCCTGGCAGTGCAAGCAGCAATAGAGGAAAACGTGGAGTTCCGCAGGGGCCTGCCTCGAGACTTCATGGATTACATGGGGGCCCAACATTCAGACTCCAAGGATCCTAGAAGAACAGCTTTCATGGAAAAGGTGAGGGTCTTGGTTGCTCGCCTGGGACACTTTGCTCCTGTCGATGCTGTGGCTGACCAGAGAGCCAAAGACTTCATCCACGATTCCCTGCCCCCTGTGATGACTACTAGGGAAACGGCACTGAGTGTTCACGGGCTCCCAATTCGCTGGGAGGATGGAGAACTTGTAGATGTGGGGGCCCAGTTGACAACAGAAACAGAAGTCCATATGCTTCAGGATGGCATAGCCCGGCTGGTGGGTGAGGGAGGCCGCTTGTTCCTCTACTACACGGTGGAAAACTCTCGCGTTTACCATCTGGAGGAGCCCAAGTGCTTGGAGATCGACCCACAGCAGGCTGACGCCATGGAACTCTTGCTTCGCTCCTACCCAGAGTTTGTGAAAGTAGGGGATTTGCCCTGTGACAGTGTGGAAGACCAGCTTTCCCTGGCAACCACGCTGTATGATAAGGGGCTGCTGCTCACCAAGACACCTCTGGGTCTTGAATTAGTTTCTTGAGGATGGCTGGAAAGAATGCAGTGTTGTCCACCACCACCACCACCTTTTTTTTTTTCTTAAGTCATGTTCTTACCTTGCTAAGCATCAGTATGGTTACGGGTTTTTTTACCTTTGTGACTGCTTCGGTGTCACAAAACTCAAATCTTCTTACAGGAGGAGCCTCTTCATCTAGGTACAAAAGTAAACAGAAATTGGATCGGGGCAAAAAGCTGTGTCTGCAGAAGCAACAGCTCTTGTCATTTCAGAGCACCAACCTCATTCATTCCCTGCAAGCTCCAGTGTATTGTGTGGCATTGGCTGTGTCATCCTGCTTGAGACATTAGGGATTTCTTTTTATTTATATTTTTGGTTTTTCAAGACAGGGTTTCTCTGTATTGCTTTGGAGGCTGTCCTGGAACTCGCTCTGTAGACCTGGCTGGCCTCGAACTCACAGAGATCCGCCTGCCTCTGCCTCCCGAGTGCTGGGATTAAAGGCATGTGCCACCAGTGCCGGGCTGAGACATCAGGGATTTTTATATGGAAGTTACATCTTTGCGTTCTCTTAAATCAGTTTGTGGGGCAGGATGGGGCCAATATCCTGTGCTATGTTTGTATGAATGTAAAAAGAAAGTTTGTATGAACATTAGAAGATTTATTAAAAAGTGCCAAAGACCATTTCTCTTTTCTAAGCCTAGAATTTTTGGGCTTGGTTTGAAAAATGTGAGACAGGGAAGAAGATAAGGAAAGCATGGCTGAGATGAAAGGCGACGTGGTTTATGATGTCACAGGAGTGTATTAGCTGTGCTTAAAGAGGGCCGGCTAGAGCAAGGGTGTGCTTAGCATGTGCAATGCCTTGGGTTCATCAGCAAGCATTACTCTCCTTAGAGAAGAGAAGCATATCTGGTTGGGACCATTTGGAGGCAATTTACTCACTTTAGTTATGCTACTTGAACCCCATCCTACAGCGCAATCCTCACAGAAAAGCGTCCACTAGCAGAGTCAGCTTTGAAGTGTATGCTGTATTTGCACAGTGCTTGGTTTAAGTCAGCGGCTGACTGGCACTGCTCCCAGAGGGACAGTGTCATGTCACCTGGTTACGCTTTCATAGGCCTTAGTCGCCTAACTTTGAGCAAGCTGGCCACAGGGAAGATCGGTGTGTCCCAGTTACTTTCCACTCATTTTCCCCCTGGCATTGGACGAAACTTCCCCAAATCTGGCAAGTGCGTAGCCTCATGATTGTTGGGAGAAAGTCTGGTGCGCCAGAAAGAGCACTTGGAACCAGAAGGTCTGGGTTTGGGGTGGTGGCCGGTAGGCAGCTGGCGGAATGACCTGAGTCTACTGCTTATTTTGTAAGTATATTTTGGTACGGTTTGACTTCTGCACCCTCATCATTGGGAGTATCTAGGCCTCTTAAGATTCTGTTAAGAAGGGCAGTGGTGGCACATGCTTTTAATCACAACAGGCAGGCAGATATCTGAGTTTGAGGCCAGCCTGGTCTTCAACGAGTTCCAGGACAGTCTCCAAACCTACAGAGAAACCCTGTCTCGAAAAACCCAAAAGAAGAAAAAAAAAGATTCTGTTGTAACTGATGGGTTCAGGTTTTTTTTTTTTTTAATTTTTATTTTTGGAGACAGGGTTTCTCTGTAGGTTTGGAGGCTGTCTTGGAACTCTCTTTGAAGACCAGGCTGGCCTCGAACTCACAGAGATCCGCCTACCTCTGCCTCCCGAGTGCTGGGATTAAAGGCGTGCACCACCACTGCCTGGCTTTAGGTTCAGTTTTTAAGGTCGAAGATGTTTAGAAAATTTTTCCCATTAAGTTAGAGCATAAAATAATTGCTTTCCTTCCAGCTGCACTTTCAGAGACGACCACTATGAAGGGTAAAATGTGTAAGGTCTTTTGGAGTGCTTAATCAGACACGTATAGTAGTTACCTGCTTTTCTAAAGGCTCGTGCTTTTCTAGTTTGTCCTTTTTAAAGTCAGTTCAGATAGAGCTACCTTTTAGATTACACGCAATTGCAGTTGGATGGAAGCCCTGGCGAGCGGGGAGAGGGAGTGAATGGGAACCAAGAAGGGCTCCAATGAAGTCCCCAAGTGTCTGGGTCCTGGGATAGTCTGGTGAGAAGAGTCAAGGGACGGGTTCACCAAAAAGAAACCTACTCTCAAAAACGTCTTGAAGAAAAGTTTGGAGTTCCATTGGGTTTTGGCCCTCTATGGGTTCTGAGTAAACACGTATTCCTTTTTGCTTCACATATCTTATAGCCGCTTCCAACTTGAGTATTTTCTCTGTCAGCAAGTCCTTTTGATTTAGTGTTTCAATCTAAAGGGAAAAAAAAGCAGCCAACTGTAGTAGGGAAGAAGAAGCATTAATGTGATTTGATTATGCCAAGCATGGAGCTGGGAGGCTGAGGCAAGAGAGCCCAACTTTAAGGTCATTTTGAGCTACCTAATAACACTCAAACCAACACATAAAAAAGATAGAGTAATTGACTGTATCATGCTTATTAGTAAAACTTTTGAAGCCCTGGATTTCCTTTTGAAAACAGTTTGTACTGATTTACCTTCTTCTTGATCTCCTGAAGCATTTCTTGATTTCCTTCAATTTGTAAGTTGAGTACTGTCATTGCCTGGTAAATTTCCCTGAAAAGATTCGAAAGGTTGTTCTACCTTGTACTTGAAAGCATGGTGTTAAACAATAGGATTTGGAGTCAGGCAAGAATCCTAAAACTCCACTCGTCAACAGTTTAACTGAGTCTTCTCTGTAGAAAGATAATTTACACAGCTGTTGTGCAGTTCCAGAGTATATATGTGAAGGCAGTGAGTTACTATTTATTATAACACCTTTGTGAAAGTACCAAATGCCACTTTGTTACTTGTCACCCCAGTTTATAATGTAGAGTTTCATCTGCATTGGAGGCTTGAGACAAACAGAAAAGACCTGGATTGGGGGCACAGCACTTCGAGTGTGGGCAAGTGCATTAAACCCTGGTATTGTTGACTCTAGTCTGTTGTCTCACTAGGTACTGGATAAATGTTTGTTGAATACATGAATAATCTAAAACTCCCTGGAAGAAGAGAAATAACAGATGAACTGTGGGAGCTATGACAATCTAATTATGGCAGGGTTTTCTGTTACCCACTTAGCCTGGAAAGGCAGAGCATATTTAGTGATCAAGGCTCGGAGAGTTGGCAATCCAGGAGGTCCTGGCAGAAACCAGAGGTTTAGTGCTTACTTAAGAACAGCCTCGTGGTCCTCTAGGAGCAGCACATCCAGAAAGGTGTCCCTGACCTGGCTTCCTTGAAGCTTGAGGGCTAGGATGCTGCGGCAAGCTTCCAGTCGTACACCTGGTGATTCTTCATAGTGGATAGCCCAGAGCAGAAGATCTGTCAGCTGGGGACTTACTTGCCCAATCTGTCCCAAAGCTGTAGAGGTGACAGGACAAGCATGTTCCACTGTCATTGACAGTAGCGAAATTTAGGAACTTGAGAGAGGTAGCAAAGCTTTGCTCAGCATGTGTGAGGTTTGATGGTTAGCTTCAGGGCAGAGTCTTGCTGTGTACACATGGCTGGCCTCACATTTGCAGTGACCCCCTGCCTTTGCCTCCTGAGGGCTGCGATTACAGGTGTATACCACCATGCCTGACTGCATTAGGATAGCTCTTCCAAAGGACTCCCAAGAGTCGTGTTTTATACTGTTCTTACCTAATGGGATATAAACATAGCTGAGTTTGCCTATTCGGGAATTAGGTGGGGGAAAATTTAACATGGAAGAGAAGTGTAGTTAAGGTGCGGGCAGAAGGCACAATTATTTCTCAGGATTACCTAGGTCTGGTTCTGCTAGGGTTCCATCAAAGACCATTTCAAAAAGAGAAGCAGTGCAGAGGTTCTAGGAAAAACTGGAAAGGTGAAGAGGAAGTTTTAAGCTCTGTAACTGTCTTGAATCTGGTTTGACTCTTAACAAGTGCTAGTTGAAATCTCCAGGGAATGCAAGATGTATCCAACAGTGGATATCAATTAGAAACTTATCCTTAATTTTGATGGTGGGAACTGTGTAGTCTGTTCTTTGCTTAGCAAATTTCAATATACATAGGATCCTTAACTAAACACTTAAAATCTTTTTTTTCTCAGCCCAGAGACTGAGAAGCTAAGACAGTCCCTTCCACTATACACTAGCTGTCTCACTAGAGTTTCTAGGGGTCTATTAGCATGAAGAAAGTATTTCAAGTGTAGTGCTTGAGTCAGGTGTTGGTGGCGCACACCTTTAATCCCAGCACTCGGGAGGCAGAGGCAGGCAGATCACTGTGAGTTCGAGACCAGCCTGGTCTACCGAGCGAGTTCCAGGACAGCCTACAAAGCCACAGGGAAACCCTGTCTCGAAAAACCAAAACCATCCAACCAACCAAACAAACAAAAAAACAAAAAGTATAGTGCTTGGAGCTATTATTTCTGAAATACCTCGAATGGCAAAAGCCTTGATTTTCCAGTAGGGATCTTTGTTCATCAGATTCTGGAGGCATTCAAGCACCTGTAATAGACAGGAAATGTCAAGTGGGAAGAACCAGACTAAGAATGGACCAGAGGCAGAGACCCCACTTATTTCTAGGGATGCTTTAATTGGAAAAGCAGCCTTCTGTTAATAGTAGTGACAGTCAGCCTGTCTAACTAGCTGAATTGTCTGCTCTGTGTATTTTTCTCAACACAGATTTATCACCATACATACACTACTTACATGTTCTACCACTGAACTGCACCCCTAGTCTCAGACTTTCTCTGCAGTCTCTCTCCCCTGCTCCCCACACTCATTTTTGAGACTGTATAACTATGTAGCTTCGGTTGCTCTGAAGATCAGGCTGGTCTTGAACTCACAGAGATCTGCCTACCTCTGCCTCCCGAGTGCTGGTATTAAAGCCCAACCCTCAAATGCTTTTTTTTTTTCCCCGAGGCACAGTTTCTGGAACTAGCTCTTGTAGACCAGGCTGGTCTCAAACTCACAGACCTCACATGCTTTCTAATGTATATGGTTGTTTTGCTTGCATGTGTTTATCTATGTGCCTTGTGATACAATGCCCTTAGAGGCCAGAAAGTAGTTTGGAGCCCTTGAAAATAGAGTTACAGATATTTGTGAGCTGCCATGTAGGTGCTAGGAATGGAACCCAGTCCTCTGGAAGAGCAGTTAGTGTTCTTAACTGCTGAGCCATCTCTCCAGCCCCTTGTCTCAAATTCTTGAACTTTCTGCCTCTTGCCTTATCTCCCAAGTGTAAGGGTCACATCATGTTTCACTTAGACTTCTTGTGAATACCTCTGTCCAGTTTCTCCTAGTAACAAGGAGTAAAAACTCCATTCATTGGTATTAACCCTTACGCCTATCAGTGACCAGCTATTAGGAAACTAGTTAACTGACATGACAACAATCGAAAGGGTGGCATGCTCTGGCTTGAAGTTGGGGCTCACTAAGCTAAATGCCTCTTACTGATTGATGTGACCTATGTCTCCTTTCACCTTTCTGTCGGGCTGCTCATCCCGCATCCCCACAGACAGTGAGTGTGCCCGGCACAGCAGAGACAGTGACACTCTCTTTGGGTCCATCAGATAAGATGACAGCATGCTGCCTTGACTTACCATCTTGTCTCGGATCTGCAGGGCACCTGCCGCCATACAAGCTGCCTGTCGAATTGCTATGAACTCATCCGAGAAGCAGCTCAGGAAGCTTGGGAGAAGCTTGGCTGTCATGAGCTTGAGTACACGGATCAGGGAGAGGGCCTCAATCCGCTCCTGGGAATTTCCTTGACTCAGCTTAATCCTGTAAGACACAAGTAGCTTTTATTTCCCTTAAACTTTTCTGTGCTGCTGGGCGATGGTGGTGCACACCTTTAATCCCAGCACTCAGGAAGCAGAGGCAGGAGGATCTCTGTGAGTTCGAGGCCAGCCTGGTCTACAGAGTAAGTTCCAGGAGAGCCTCCAAAACAATACAGAGAAACCCTGTCTCAAAAATCCAAACCCTGACCCCCCCCCCAAAAAAAACGTTTCTGTGCCTTGTTCCCTTCCACCATGCCCTTGGGATAGAGTTCTAGCTTTGTGGGGCCCAGTTATGTAGACATACCTTTTCTTTCCTTCTTTCTTCCTTCTTCCTTCCTTCCCTCCCTCCCTCCCTCCTTCCTTCCTTTCTTTCTTTCTTTGTTATTCTTGACAGGGTTTTTCTGTGGCTTTGGAGGTTGTCCTGGAACTAACTCTTGTAGACCAGGCTGGTCTTGAACTCACAGAGATCCACCTGCCTCTGCCTCCCGAGTGCTGGGATTAAAGGCGTGCGCCACCAATGCCCTGTGACATACCTTTTCTATGTTGGTGTATGATCATTAAAGTTTCACTGGGTTGGGACCTTGGGCGTCTTACTTTCTTGAACTCCTATTACCTGGCGTGTGGTAGATATTCAGGTGTCTTGAACAATAAAGGTTGCACCCCATCTTACAAATACAGTGCACGTTTTGACAGTCGTCTCCAGCCCGGAATGACTGCATCTCCGTGGAACTTGGCCTTCCTAGTCCACACTGAGTGTAGCATTTTTCTATAGCAGTTATGGTATATGCTAATACCTATGGTATTAGGTTAGTATGGGTTGGTTTTTTCAATTAGGTATTTGTATATTGTATTTGCGTTCATCAGAATTGCATCCTTCCTCAAATACGTAAAAGATGACCTCACACTTGGTGGGCATCCAGTGCCTCTTTGGCTACCCGCGATGGTAGTTCCTGTAGGGACTGAACCTTTTATAGTGGGACCTAGTATGTTGATCCTACCAGAGCTCAGCCGGTAACTGGCTGGATCCAGATGGCCCAGGCACTGCTAAGAAAGGAAGGGCTCTGAGCTGCAGAGGCCGGGTCTTACCTGATCATGTCATGCACCTCCTTCCCAAGGCTCATCTGCCCCAGCGCTTTGGCAGCCGCTTGCCTGACTTCTTTGTTCCAGTCATTCCACATCAGCTCGATTAGCTTATGCTTCATATCCTGTCAATAGGTATGATAATCGGCTCACTGACTTTGTACTTGACACCAGGTTTTTGTCTATCCGTTAATCTCTCAGTCCAGTTGGGCAGATGGTATTTCTGTATACAGATGACACAATGGAGGCTTTGATTAATTTGTCCCAGGATAGTCTGGTAAATGCTTCTGCCTGGTCTCAGAACCCAGGTCTGTTTCCCAAACCCATCTCTTAAACTCCTGCATCTTGTTGGCACCAACATAATGAGTGTGAGAGACTTGAAATTCAAAGGTATTACATAATCAAGCAATGTCCTCATTCCAGATTGCCTGAGACTTTTCTGGGCTTAGTGCTGAAAGTTCATGTCCTGAGGACGCCACTTCTAAGCAGGAGTAGCCATGTTACGGGCTATATTGAAAGTATTCGGTGTGATAAGAGATTAAGCAGCTCTAAGAAGAGGGACTGATTCCACTCAGACAGCTAGTGACTAGAATGTAATAGTAAAAAGAGGTTCGGGTTTCACTTGCTCAGAATTTCTTCAATTGTAGCCAAGTTCCACACCCCCAAGTTGTTCAGCCACTTACATTCGGTAGACACCAGGCTCCAGAAAGTTTCAAGAGAGCGCCTTGCATTCACTCTGCTCTCAAGTTGTGGGAGCCTGTGTAAGAAAGCTGTGAACTGTGGATGGGGCAGAGTACAGAATGTTCTCCTGACAAGGTGACCTTCTAGAAAGAATCGCATGAACTATGATAAGTGAATGCACTTAAAAGCAAGGACATGACCACATTATCTCTTTGGGAAAAAGCAAAGGCCTGGGAAGAATATTGGCTCTTTTCACACCGTCAAAGATGATAAGACAACACCTGGTACACTCCCTTATTATACATGTATTTGCTTAAGCTAACTGTAAACATTACCTCATGCTTTGCTTGCTTTAATAATGAGAAATGCTTTGTTTGCACTACCTGATTTTAAATGCCTGTAGTCCCCTAGTACTCCATGCAGGTCTTTGGCATGTTCTTTGATTCAGGGAGACAATCCCGATGGCCACCAAGAGGGGTCGACATCGATTCATTTGTATTGTTAGTCTTATTGCTCCAATGTTAATGCCATTGGTTTTGAAAACGGGGACTATGTGCTGAATATTCAGGGAACCAACATGGGCATTTGTTTAGTTGGATTGTTGGGTCTTTTCAGTCTGCTCTCAAATCAAGGACCAATATTCAGCATAGGATGAGGGAGGAATGCATCGTTGACTGATACTGTCATAATGTCTACTGATACTGAGACAGTGTCAAATTACTATTAAGTTTATATGCTCCCTCTTGGTTTGTATGTATTTGATAGTGGCTATGTCACAGTTTGTGGATTGACACTCCACCAAGGAGCACTGGCCTAAAATGAGAGGTACATGATACTTAAAGATATTCCAATTTATGAATAAGAGGCAGCAATGAGATACTAGATAGAAGCAAAGAGTAGGAAGACTCCAGGCCAGCTCTGCCAGACTTCCTGGGAGAAGACAGACTTACTATACAGATGTTTCCACTGATCCGAGAGAAAGCGCGGCAGGCCACAATGCGGTCCTTCCATTGCCTGCTGTTCAGCTCCACAGCGAGCATTGTGTGGATCAGGGTCTGAGGAAAAGGAAGACTTGCGTGGATAGTCTTGCTCACTCTTAGAGACACTAGAATCTTGAAGAAATTATGTCCTAACATGGCATCCAGCATAGTAAATGCCCCAAGGTCATGGAATACTCGTTCCTATTAAGGAACAGAGTGGGATCATAAGAGATGGGCACTCTGCTACCCAAGCAATCTGTCTGGAGTTATAAACCGTAAAGAAAATACAGGTCTAAGAATCTGAGCAGAAAATGAGGGCCTTCCCTTCTGACTGTTTCTAGTCCCTGGGGTGGTTTGTATGTTCACAGTCTGTGTGGAGTCTTGTGTTTTTACTCCAAATGAATGGCATTGTGGGGGTATCAGTGAGAAGCCTCTGTGAGAAGTCTGTATGTCATGACTCAACCTTTATGCTGCTAGAAACTTCTCAGCTAGCTTCTCACATTCCCCTGGACACTTCTCCATATCTGGTTTTACAGACTTGGTGTACTTGGCTTATGTTTGACATCATTCTCAGGCACTGACTATAGACGCTTCCTCCCCTAAACCTTGTTTCCTTCTCTTGTTCTGAAGTGGACACATACCGTCTTCCCACTGAGATGGCCCAGGAGGATACAAGACTGTTCCTCTGTGGCCTCGTTCTTCTTGTTAAAGAGCTGGTGGAGGATCCTCTTAATCACTGGGTAGGTGGCAATGCCTTCCAGAGCCAAGCACTGAGCTGCGGCCCAGCTGTCCACACTATTACCTGCCCCGGTGGGTTGAAAAAAGTTCAGATTGTTTTCTCCCAGAAAGAACCACATTTGAACTGGTACCTGTGACTGTTAACTGCCTGATACTTCTGTGTCCCACAGAGTCTAGAAAACCACCCTGATACTTCAACCATATGGTAAGATTTTTTTTTTTTTTTTGGTTTTTCGAGACAGGGTTTCTCTGTGGCTTTGGAGGCTGTCCTGGAACTCACTCTGTAGACCTGGCTGGCCTCGAACTCACAGAGATCCGCCTGCCTCTGCCTCCCGAGTGCTGGGATTAAAGGCGTGCGCCACCAACGCCCGGCGTCAACCATATGGTAAGATTTTAAATAAAAACAGAAAAACCCGGCAAGACAGTTTTTGAAAACAGGATTTCATTTAGTCCAGGCTAGCCTTAAGCCCATTGTGTAGCAGAGATGACCTTGGACTTCTGGGGGATGGCAGTACTAGGGATAGACTCCAGGGCTTAGTGCATGTGGAGCAAAGCCCTACACCAGCAGGCTGGAGCCCTGCTCCTGACCTTATCCACCTTATCTTTCAGGTGCTAGAATGAAAGGCGTGTGCCTTGAGGCTTGACTGAAACATTACAAGCTCCTCTTGGTAACACTTCTGACTGGGAAGGCTAGAGGGGCCTGGGAGGAAATCCCTTCCTAAAACAGATGAATTAAGCAGTGGATTATTCATATACAGAAGGCCAGACTAGCCAACCAGTTTTCCCATGCTAAGGCAACACAGGTCAGTGGTCTCTCTCCTGACAGCTTTGTTCGTTCGAACATTATAATGCCTAGGTGTCACTGTGCAGAAATTGGAAGCATGATGTGTTCAGGAGGTGATTTTTAAAAAAAACAAACTTTCAAAATGTATCTAGCTATTGTTATGTTGTCTTTTCAATATTAAAATGTTATATAGCAGAGGTCATTGTTTGTTGTATTTACTTTTTGGTACTAGGAATGAAATTCTGGGCCTTAATGTGCTGGGCAATCATACTATTGCTAGAAGTCTAGCCCTAATTGTTGGCTAGCATGTACTAACTGTATTATTAATGGGGACTAGGGTGCTGTTTCAAGGCATGCATACATCGTTGCATTGATCAAACACACCTGCCTTTATCCACCTTCTGCTTCCCACCCCTAACCTCTAGTAATCTCTGTTCTGCATTCTCACATGGAGGAGACTGGGAATTTAGTTGATATCTTCAGTTTCATCCATTTTAGGACATGGCTTATAGAATGGATCTGTGAAGGGTCAGTCCAGGTACCAATTCATGCCACTTGTTTTGCAAAACTACTTAAAAGGACTAATGTCTCTGTGTGCTTAACAGACACTCAGACCCAAATGCAACAGGCATCCCAGCTTCATGGGAAAAGGAAAAGGCTGGGAAAACTGATGTGAGGTAACTCTATCCCATATTCCAGGTCCACAGGGAGTTACTCACCTTTCACAAGTGCAGTCTGCATGATGTCCCGGGCAGTGGGATTATGTGACTGTATGGCATATTGGCATATGGCTGCTGCCATCCTCACATTGGGATTCCTGTCAGACAGAGCAGCCTCTAGAGCAGGCAGGAGCACCTCTGGCAAGTCCGGAATAATTGGTACTGCAATCAGAGAGGCCCCAGTCCTTTGCTTTTCTCTCAGATAGCATCCTTACCAAGCTCCACACTACAGCTATGGCTAAATCACAGGTCAGTTGATGCTCTACAATGGGCAGGATTTTATGTCCAAAGGATTGGGGTGCTGATGTGCCAATCCTTTATCATCTAGTCTCTAGGTCTGAAGGCAAAGTGTATTTCCAGCTAGTTATAGTAACCTCCACCATTCATCATAGTAACAAACCCAACCCATTTACTCATTGTCTGATTCAGTATTTCAACTCTGAGTTTGTGGACAAGTAGGCATCACAGCAGAATCCAACAGGGGGTCTTTTAGACTTTAACTACAAACACTGATACTTGTTATAAGCACAAGCTTGTCAGGGTGGCAATGTCAGACATTCTTTTTATCTGGGGTTCTTTGTTTATTTTGTCCAAATGTTTTGTTTTTTGTTTTTTTGAGACAGGGTTTCTCTGTGGCTTTGGAGGCTGTCCTGGAACTTGCTCTGTAGACCAAGCTGGCCTCAAACTCACAGAGATCCGCTTGCCTCTGCTTCCCGAGTGCTGGGATTAAAGGCTTGCGCCACCAACGCCTGGACCAAATGTTTATCTTAACCTTTATTTTTATGTTAGGTGTTTTGCCTGCGCATGTCTGTACACCACGTGCATGCGGTGCCTGCAGAGGCCAGAAAGGTCTTTGGATCCCCTGGGACTGGAGCTCTAGGTGGTTGTGAGCCGCCATATGGGTGCTGAGAATCAAGCCCAGGTTCTCCGGAAGAACAGTCAGTGCCTGTAGGCACTGAGGCATCTTTCCTGGCCCTGTCTGAGGTTCATGAAGCACTCTGTAGCATTCACTCTGGATGCATTTATGTTCCATGAATCTGATATCTCTTTAGTAACTCCATAGGTACGGTCCTAGGGTCATCAAGGACATGTGCAATAGGGCATCTGGGGAGCCCCAGAGTATACCGTTGGTCAGATATTTTATCTTTCATTTATAGTTCTTCCCAGCTCTGATTGTTTTGTCAGCCGGGGCTAATTTTGTCAAAAGAATTTTTGTCTATAAACATAGGGAGGCATTTTCACTTGGTTGTAGAGTAAGTACCTGCTTTGAAGGCACAAGGGCTGGGTTCAGTCTCCAGCTCTGTCAATGAAAGCAGTGAGGGGAGAAGATGGCGCTCAGTTTCTCTGCTTAAGCAGAAGGAGAAGAGAGTTGCGCCGGGCGGTGGTGGCGCATGCCTTTAATCCCAGCACTCAGGAGGCAGAGGCAGGCGGATCTCTGTGAGTTCGAGGCCGGGCTGGACCGATAGCCTCCAAAACAATACAGAGAGACCCTGTCTCGTAAAAACCAAAAAACCAAAAAAAAAAAAAAAAGAGGGTTGCTATCTCTGACTGCAAGTACGATCCCAAGAAACTGCAGAGCCGGGACTCAGATTCTGTGCTTTCAGTTTTTCTTCTTTTTGAGGGTCTAATCGCCCAGGCTGACCTTGAACTCCCGATCTTTCTGCCTCCACCTCCCAAATGCTAGGATTATACGCAGCTACATCCACACTCGCACTCATTCCATCTGGTTTGTTTTTTTATTTTTATTTTATTTATTTTTTTCCACTTAGGTTGTAGGCCCATAAGCTATCTGTTCAGAACATGGTAGTTAAGACCTTTCATCTCTGCTGGGGAATGCCCATGTCTTGAAGTCAATAAACAGGAAATAAGTGGATGAACTTTTAAAAACCTGACAAATTGGAAGAGGTAAGGCAATCCCTGACCTTACCTCATTCCTAACTCATTTTTAAGATATAAATCTATCAAATTCACTTATGTAATTTTTTTTTCACTTTTTTCCCTTCCTACCTTTCTTTGCTGAGGCTCAAACCTGGGACTTGGTGCATTCCAGGCCGACACTCTACCACAGAATTATACCTTCAGTTCTTACAATTTCAAGTTTTTTATTTTCTCTGTATGAGTATTTTGTCTGAATGCATGAATATGTAGCATGTGTGTGCCTGGTGCCAACAGAGGCCAGAAGAGGACATCAGGTTCTCTGGAACAGGAGTATAGATGGTTATGAGCTGCCACGTAGGTGCTGGGAACAGAACCTGGGACCTCTGCAAGAACAGCTAGTGGCCATGACCACTGAGTGATCTCAGCAGTCCCCAGCTTTTAGGAGTTTTACTATTATAAATGGGATTTCATGGTGGGAAAATGTGAACTTCATTGCAAGCCACTGAGCAAACACATGTGATGAGTTAATACAAAAGCCCTTGGCGCCAGGGCCCCTGAGCGTAACACAGGGCACTGAACCTAGGGCTTCAGTTTCATCTCTTAAGATGAGCTTGGCTGAGCCGGGCATTGGTGGCACACGCCTTTAATCCCAGCACTCGGGAGGCAGAGGCAGGTGGATCTCTGTGAGTTCGAGGTCAGCCTGGTATACAGAAAGAGTTCCAGAGTTCCAGGACAACCTCCAAAGCCACAGAGGAACCTGTCTTGAAAAACCAAAAAAAAAAAAAAAAAAAAAAAAAAAGATGAGCTCGGTTCTAGGTCTTGATTTCCACATTGGGAAAATGAGCTCAAGTAATGTCTAAGACCTCTCTCAGTCCAGATGCTTCCAAACTGCCGAGTCCTAGCTCTCACCTGAGCCCTGCTTGTTAGGGGCAATCCGGGGCCTTTCCAAAGCAGCGGTAGCACATGTGACAATGGCGTGGATCCTCATGTCATCATACATGTTTACTATGCCCCGCAATAGGTTCTCCACTGTCTCATGATGCCATTCGATAACTAAGTCATAGGAAGAAAAATTAAGAGAACCACCTAGTTAGGGCTACAGATTGCAGTAAATGGGCAGACAAGAAGTCCCTTTCCCTAGGACAATGCAAGGAACACTTCAGCTCAGAATAAAGAATTCAGAGAAGGGCTCCTTTGGCAAATTGTTTCTGTGATGACTCATACACTTCTCAGGTAGTTTCCCCCAATCGCATCTTATATGCTATTGCTCTGTGCTTAAATAACTTTCAATGGGAAATAGATGGGGAATAAAACACAGTGGTTGACTGGTTATGGTGGCACACAGTTACTTAGGCTAAAGCAGGAGGCTCATGAATCTGTTGTGGGATCATCTTTTTGCACACTGTGAAGATTCATCTCTGCCTATGGTGCCTTCTGATTGGTTTAATAAAGAGCTGAATGGCCACTAGCTAGGCAGGAGAGAATAACCAGGATTCCAGAGAGAGGGGAACTCTGGAAAGAAAAGAGGGGGTTTTGCCAGTGAGACGTGAGGGGGTCAGACACCCAGAATGGAGGAGAGGTAAAGAGCCATGTTACAGAACGTAGATTAACAAAACAGGTTAATTTAACTTATAAGAGCTAGTCGAGAACAAGCCCACGCTAAAGGCCAAGCTTTCATGAATAATAATAAGTCTCCATGTTATTGTGTTTGGGAACTGGCTGTCCCAAAGAAAGACTGACTACATGAATCCATGAGTTCAAGACCAGTCTAGGCAACACAGTAAGTCTCCTGTCACAAAAATAAGCGAGCAGTGGTGACACACTCCTTTAATCCCAGTACTCAGGAGGCAAAGGCAGGCAGAATTCCTGGACAGGCTCCAAAGCTACACAGAGAAATGCTGTCACGAAAAACCAAAACCAAAATAAAATAAAAACAGTCGGGCGTTGGTGGCTCATGCCTTTAATCCCAGCACTCAGGAGCAGAGGAAGGCGGATCTCTGTGAGTTTGAGGCTAGCCTGGTCTACAGAGCTAGTTCCAGGACAGCCTCCAAAGCAATCCAGAGAAACCCTGTCTATAAAAAAAACCAATAAATAAATAAGTAAATAAATAAAAGCAGTGAAGGATGAGGTTCTCAGTCAGTAGAAGCATTCAGCCTTCTACTTAAAGTTCTTGGAGGGAAAGTAGATTCACGATAACCCCATTTTTACAACTAAATTCCACAATCTACTGCCGTTTCTTTTGATAGTTGCATATCTTATCCTGGGGCAGTGTCTTGTCTTTCCTGTCACTTATCCTGCATGTTTCAGACATGGCTAAGACAAGGTCTCTGCCCGTGAGGTTTCTTAGTATGGTTGTGGTAGGGACCCCCAAGAGCCAAAGAGAGGAGAAGCAGGAAACAGCCATGTGAGCTGGTCAGTGTTCACGAGTGCGGGGCAGCTCCAACACATTTCTCCTGCAGCCGCCCGTCCCTCCTCCTCCCCTCCCTTTCCGGCTCAGCTTTTTTTCTTTAGCTTCACTGCCAAGTAATCTAAAGTACCCACCCATTCAGAAGGCAAGCCACTCTACATGGGAGACAAATAAGCCCAAAGAATGTATAAAAAGTTCTGTTCCAGGATGCCCGTGGCTCTCCATTTGAGGAGAACCCCATAGACAGTGCTAGCACATGAACTGTTTTCTGCAAAATCCCGGTGTCCTGTTTTTCTGTTCAGCAAGCCCACAACACAGTGAGTTCCCATGCTTTACTGAAGTTCCCACATATACCTGCCTATGTATGCATAAAGAGCCCAGCATAATGTTCGCCTAACACCTGCTGATTGAAAGGCTCTTTTTTTTTTTTTTTTTTTTTGGTTTTTACGAGACGGGGTTTCTCTGTATTGTTTTGGAGGCTGTTGGTCCAGCCAGGCCTCTAACTCACAGAGATCCCCCTGCCTCTGCCTCCCGAGTGCTGGGATTGAAGGCGAGCGCCACCACCGCCCGGCGATTGAAAGGCTCTTATCCGCACCCCTTAACGAGGCAGCCAGCCAGCATTCTACGTTTTACAAGACAGCTGGACTTTTCCAGGGCTGGGGAAGACAAACCCACAAATGTCCACGATTTCAGCGCCTCCTCCACTTACTGAGTGCCCAGGCCGTCTTCCACTCCTGCAGCATCTTCCGCAGCACTGCCAGCTCCCAAGTCACATCCTCCTTCAGGGGTTCAACCTTCTTCTTCACTCTTCTAGGCTTGTCAGACGTGTCCTCCTCACCCACCTGCAGCAGAAGGCTCTTGACCGGGGTGGGCAACGCAACCCAACGCTGAACTCCTTTCTTGAGCTTATGAGCTGTGCAATGAAGAGGCGGGTCTCACCTGACTGCCTGACTATGGAACCCCGGGGACTTGGACAAGCTTGCAAGTGCTATACATAGTGTGGGGCTTTGAATAAGAATGTCTCCCTGGGCGATGGTGGCACACACCTTTAATCCCAGCACTCGGGAGGCAGAGGCAGGCGGATCTCTGAGTTTGAGGCCAGCCTGGTCTACAGAGCAAGTTCCAGGGCAACCTCCAAAGCAATACAGAGAAATCCTGTCTCGATAAAACAAACAAACAAAAAAGCATTTTTCTATTAATAAGAATGTCTCCCAGGGGCTGGAGAGATGGCCCAGTGGTTAAGAGCACAGGCTACTCTTCCCAGCATCCACATGGTGGCTCACAGCCATCTGTAGTGAGATCTGGTGCCCTCTTCTGGCGTGCAGACATACATGCTGGCAGAACAGTGTGTACCATAATAAATAAATAAATCTTAAAAAAAAATAAAAAGGAGCACTGACTGCTCTTCCAGAGGACCAACACATTTCTTCTGCAGCTGCCTGTTCTCCTACCACCCACATGGCAACTCATAACTGATAACTGTCTGAAACTCCAGTTCTGGGGGGTCTGGCACCCTCACACATACATGCAGGTAAAACAGCAATGCACATAAAATTAAAAAAAAATAAAAAAGAACATCTCCTATAAGCACATATATTTGAATGACAGTATTTGAAAGGATTAGAAGGATCAGGAGGTCTGACCTTGTTAGAGTAGGTGTGGCCTTGTTGGAAGCCTGTCACTGGGGGTGGATTTTGAGGTTTCAAAAGCTCAAATTAGGCCACTTCTTTTCAATCTGTGGACCATAATGTAGCCTTCAGCTACTGTACTGGCACTATGCATGTGGCCATGCTCCCTGCCATGATGGGAATGTAATGGACTAAGCTTCTGAAACTGTGAGCAAGCCCCTAATTAAACATTTTCTTTCATAAGAGTAGTCTTGGTCATGGTGTCTCTCCATAACATAGAACAGGGACTAATACGCCTAGCTACATGCTCAACCCCAGAGAACCCAGCTGAACAGCGACAGTACAAAGACTTACAAGGATTAGAGAGATAGTCTCTTAGAAGATGGGTACATTTTGTTTTAGAAGGTCAGCTTTGTCTTACCAAATGAAGAATGTTATACATAAAAAAATAAGAGCTGGGGGAATAACTCAGTGGGTGAAGCACTTGCAGTGCAAATAAGAGGACGGGATTTGAATCTCCAGCACCCAACTATAAGGTGGGCAGGTGTGTCAGCCTGCCTGGAATTCATATCTCCAAAACCAACCAGGCTAGCCAGACTAGCTGTACCAGTGATATCCGGGGTCAACCTAGAGGCCCTGGCTCAGTGGGTAAGATGGAGAGGAACTGAAGAAGACTTCCGACATTAGCTTCAGGCTTCCTCACACGTGCCTACTCTTGGGTACTGACAGATACATGTACACACACCACCACACACAAACATACCAAGAAAAATGAAAAAAAAATCAAAGAAAGACCCTGGAGCCTGAGGTAAGGATGGGTTGAGTATGAGTGGACCACAGGGTATAGCCAGCCCAGGGACATGGGGGAGGGGAAGCGCGGAGAGTAGTTACAGTAAACCATGTACTCACACGTAAGTAATATCAGATTCCAACTGGACGTAAGTTCCACCATCTTGCAATATTTGCAATGTTACGAGACCATTTTTAGATGCTAGGAAGGGAGTGCCCTTGTTGCTGGTGGTGTCTGTGACTTTAAAGAAACCACCCCATGGCTAGCTTTCCGATCATGGTCCTTACGTGTTTCAGGAACAGGCTGGAAACTCCACTTTTCTGGGCTTTCAGGGAAGATCCGAGATAGGTGCTTGTCGTACCGATTGAGGTTTTCCAAGACAATTTGGTCATTCTTCCCACCAATCTGGTGAACAATCTTCACTCCGTCTATGAAGATAGATACAATGGATGACCAGACCCTCCCTTTCCTCTAATATAAGCCCTTGGGACATTGTCAAAGAACAGTTGTTGCTTAGAAAATGTCACAGCCAGTAGTAGCGTCATAGGGAAGCCTTATAAAGTCCCAGGCGAACCAAAGATAGTGTTTTCCATTGGTAAAACAGAAACTAATTTTTTTCAGATGTATTGGCTGTATTAAATAAAATAAAAATAGAATTATTAAGTATATACACAGTAGTGTAAGTGCAAGGGGCAGACATAGCAGTTTCCAATTGGAGTTTGCAATGGAAAACCCAGGTAACAAAGCTTCTCAGGTCTGCTAGAGGCGTCTCCATGGTTACCTCCTTCCTACCTGTAGGTGTACATAGTCTCTCACACACCCAACACAATTTAGAAAAGATTACAGAACCACAAAAATAGCCCAAATATGGCATTTTGGCATTTTTAACTTCTTAGAGTACAGCTAAAATATAAGCCATAAAATGTTCAAGTCACTTGAGGCAGTCAAAGAAATTCTTTATGGTTTTGGAAGGCCGGTAAAGTCCTGACAGATTACTCCCAAAGGACCCTGTCAAAAAGCCTTTAGAGAATCCTGTCATTGAAACACCCAGACCATTACAAACGTTCCTCTGCAAGGCAGAACCCGGGGCTCTCCTGCCTAGGCTGGGAGGTCTGGATGTCAGGGTGGCTCCAAGGGCTCCAGATCAGTGGCCGTCACTCTGCATGCTCTTACACAAGGCTCTTGCAGCGCGAGCATGAGCTACCGCCTGTCCGACCATCTTATCTTACCACAAAGGAAAATGTTTAACAGTCTCAGACCAGAGTGGGGGTGGGGTGGGGGCCTGGGAGTGGGGTGGGGAGGGTGGAGGTGGGGAGAAACTAAATATCCAAAGCAAAAACATTCAGATTTAGAAAAGACAGTTCAAAGCTGGTGGCTTCACGGGTAAAACCTGACGGACTGGATTAGTAGCTTTTTTAAAAAGCAAGCCAAAATGTGGAGAAGGTCAGGGAACATCGGCTTGTGCATGGGGGTGATTTCTGCTAAGTGAGTTTAGTTCTTGCTGCATCCAGAAACTGATTTCTAAGCAGTGCTAGACACTAAAGAAGGGGCATTTAATTAACCCCACCAGCTATGAATCCCTTAGGATAGTTTTGTTAAGATCGCTAAGGAGACCCAGCCAACAGCAAGACGGAGCTGGTGAAGAAGCAGCCTGGAACATGCAATCCCAGGTCATGTTCTGCAAGGTCTGGGGCGGAAAGGTTAGCTCAGTGGGGGAAGGGTGGTAGCAGACAGTCATCGAGACACGTGCTAAGCATCCGGCAGCTCTGGGGATGCTTTCCTGTCTACTACCCAGAAAGTGTGTAGTTTTTTTTTTTTTTTTGGTTTTTCGAGACAGGGTCTCTCTGTATTGTTTTGGAGGCTGTCCTGGAACTCACTCTGTAGACCAGGCTGGCCTCGAACTCACAGAGATCCGCCTGCCTCTGCCTCCTGAGTGCTGGGATTAAAGGCGTGTGCCACCACCGCCCGGCTGAAAGTGTGTTCTTGTTGACATTGATTTACAAGTTAGTATCATAGTCAGGTTGTGTGGAGGGGGTATGTAACCTGCTGATGGGTACTAAGAGGGAATCAAGCCAGTGTTTAAGCAAATCTGCCTGACTACAAAGCCTGTTTGTTTTTTAAAACATAGTAGGCCAGTGGGGGTGGAGAGGATATCTAAGAGTGAGCAAAGGATAGACAGAAGATTAGGGTGCTCCTAAAGTCAGCTCTGCCTCATGTCACAAGCCCATATTCCACTCCCTCCTTAGTAAGATGGGGAGATAGAGAGGCAGACAAAAGAAGTGACTGCTCCCCGGTAGATAACCCTGCCACAAATCCCGCACTAGCACTGGGAGATGCACCCAGAGATTTGTTTCCACGCATGACTATTCTGGTCCCATGATGCCCTCACTTCCTTAGCCCGTACCCCCACCCCAGAGCCCGGAACCATTACCAAAGTAAATCTCCTGCTCGAAGATGTTTTCTGTAGAGTAAGCATACTCTCCAGCTCTGGGGTTCACCTGCCGGAAGGGATTCAGAATTGGAGGCTGGTAGTTTCTCCTTTCTTCTGCGATATCCTCGGCCGTCTTGTTGTTGCCAGGCAGAATTTCAACTGTCTGTTCTTGTGGGGAGTAGCCAGGTAACCTTGACAGCCATGGTGAGAAACAGGGGAAAGTGGGAAGAGTGAAAGATGTCCCCCTTCCCATTAGGTCCATGACTCCCTGTAGCCCCCTTAAGCTCTCCTCCTCACAGAAGCATCGGAGCACCTGTGCCTAATGACCAGCGTTCTCTCTCGGGCGCAGTCTGAGCTGGAGACTCTAGAGTCTGTCTTCAGCCACCCTCTCCCCTCCACTGATGAAGCCACGCCCCCTGCAGTCACGGCAGACACTCTGCAAGAGCCCTGTGCTTCCCGCTAACTCTTTCCACTTCCTGTTCAACTCTTCCCACTTCCTGCTCAACTCTTCCCACTTCCTGCTCAACTCTTTCCACTTCTCTTTTCCTTTTCTTTTTTAAGTGTATAGTGACAACATTGAGAAAGGGCCCTGCTATGTAGCTCAGGCAAGACTAGAATTTAGTATGTAGCCACGGCTGGCCTCAAAGTTGTGATCTTCCTGTTTGTCTCCCAAGTGCTGGGATTACAGACACGTGCCACCATGCCCAGTCTGCAGTCCATTCTTAACACTGGTTCCCTCAGAAGGTGCGTGAATCAGAGGTAAGTGGATCTCTGTGAGTTCGAGACCAGCCTGGTCTACAAGGGCTAGTTCCAGGACAGGCTCCAAAGCCACAGAGAAACCCTGTCTCGAAAAACCAAAACCAAACCAAACCAAAACAAAACAAAAAACAAAAAAAGGTGCATGGATTTGGGGAAGGAAAATTGTCTTCTCTGCTACCTCGACAAATCTGTGTAGGTATTTACTGTCTGTTCAGTAGGTCGACACATCTGATATTTTATATTATATTCCCAGCACTCCATAGACTCTGAAATATCAGCATCAATGAAAGAAAATCAACTCATATTTGTTCAATAACTAACTAACTCACTAACTAGCTAACTAACTACATTTCCACTTATTTTTAGTTCCCTTTTGGATGGCAGGGAGATTGTATTAGCTCTTGTCTCCACTCTCTCTGGGAATGAAAAAGAAGCCATCTGAGGAATGTGGGGTCCTCTTCTCTTGGATTGCTTGTTTCTCTGCCCTGAGTCTGCTTGTGTTTGGTGTCAGCGAGTCTTATTCAAGTGGAGGAAACTAAACTCAGTGTCACGAGCCCTCTGCCCTTCTCACTGTCAACCTGCATATATAACTCTAGGAGCTCTACTGAGCGGGGCGTCAGCCCGGGAGCTCAGCTACTGGAACCCTTTGAGACAGTGCCTCTGAGCAGGGTGCGAGCTTGTCCTTCAGCGATATCTGGCAGTGTCTGAGGCATGCTTGGTGGCAGCTGAGAGCGGTAACTGCGGAGTCATCCTTGGTAGCAACAGAGAAGTGTTCCTGGTTTCTAGTGGCTGAAGACCAGAGACACTGCTAGCACCCTGCACAGCACAGGCAGCTGCTTATGATAGAACAGTGTCCTCCCCAGAATGTCTAGGCGCCTAGCAACCTCACTTCCAGGAGATCTCAGAAAGCGGGTGGTGGTGGAGAACAGGAGGCTGACGGGAAAGTGTATTCTGAAGTGTGGGCTCGGGTATAGCCAGGGGCAGCGTGCTTGCCCAGCCAATGCAAGGGGTGGGCTTGATTGCCAGCAGCTGGGAAAGCACGATGATATCAAATAAGGAGCCTATGTATGGGGAGCTCCTGAGGTGGAACCATGGACTTCACTAGGCCCACATAACTCGGCCAACCTGTAGAAAACCGGAAGCAGCATCTCCGGCTTCTTTATTTCCTTGGGGGGCACGGTGACACGTTCGCCCTCAAACTCTGCTGTTTCTTCTTCCTCCAGCTTTTTGAGGAGGTCCAGGTCACTGGCTGAAGTGAGCTCATCCCGAATGTGGCTCCAGTCGTACTGCTGGCGCAGGAAGCTCTGCCACTTGTTGGGCGACTGCCCAGGCCTCGGTGGACGCTTGCTCTGGATCCATCGCGCGGTGCGCTTGTCCAGCTTCTCCAGCACGAAGGCTTCCCAGCTCCGGGCCTCCTTCTCACCGGGTGGAAGCCAGGTTTCCCTTTCCTCCAGACTGTCATCGGTAGAGGGGGACAGGTCTGGTATATCTGATTTCAAGGGGGGACAGTGAGAGTGTGGGGTAGATGCTTTCTGGTCCGAATCTCTGGGCTTTGGTTTTTTCTGCTTCTTTTTAGAACCCACAGGGCTTTGTGTCTTTGCAGAATGGGGGGTGTCCCCTGCCAAGAGCTCTGAGGTCCGCAGAGCTTTGGTGTAGGCAGGTTTCTCGGTGTGGGCCTCCCGGGCCTGCACAGGTGGGATGATGTCATCCGTGTTGTAGACGTGCTCAAAACTGTACTGACTGAAAGGCATGCTGGGCAGTCCCCGCTGCCACCTCACGTCCTGAGAGAAGGAGAGGTCGGCAGCCGCCTTTTTCAAATACTGGTTCTTGACACGCTCGCAGTGCTGTGGCCTGCAGGGGAAGACAGGTGGCACTCTGGAGACCGAGGTGCACCCCACCTTGTCCGTGGGTTTTGTGTAGAGGAAGGTCATGCCCCATCCCAGCCGAGGAGGCCATGGCTCAGGGCACCGGACGGAGGAAGCCCTCTTCTTTTTGTGCTTGGTCATGTTGCGCTTCAAATCTTCCTATCCACACTGCTGGTTCACAAGCAGGGCCTGCAGGCAACCAAGAAAGGGACAGTGAATACTCCACTTTAGGAGGAATCGGAAGCCCATAGTGGAGTAAGGAAGTCCTGGGAGTTTAGAGAACAAAAAAGAAAAACAGTGCAACATTCTAAATAGCTCCCCGCCCCGACTCCCCGGTAAGATTTCATTTATTTAGTATGCAGTATCTGCCTGCATGTCTGCCTGCAGGCCAGAAGAGGGCACCAGATCTCATTACAGATGACTGGGACTTAGCGCTCAGGATCTCTGAAAGAACAACCGCTGAGCCATCTCACAAGCCCTTCTAATTGCTTAATTGTAACTTTGCTTCAGATTCTCACATTTGTCTACAAAGTTCGGAACTGTGTAGCCTTATGATCGATCATAGCTTTTCAACAGTACCCCACATTTCCAATTCTTTTTAATTCAAACATTTCCATCTCTCTGTTTAGACCACTTGTAAGGAGCTGGGCACAGCTGTGCACACCGGGTGTTGTCCCAGCTACTAGGACGCATGGCTGCGGCAGCAGAGTGAGCTTAGGAGTTCCAGGCTAGACCCCACCCTTAAGAGAGCAAGGAGTGGGGGATGCCTTTTTGTCCTGCTTAAGCTGGCTGGATCGCCTAGCTGTTCTCTGGGCGTTCCTGTCTCCCCCTCCCTCCCCACAGTCCAGCTTCCTCCCATGTCCTCTACATGAAATGACTTGTCATCTATACTTGACATAACCTGACCTACTCTTTTAGGTTCAGCTCAATGCCAACCTGCCAACCTCTTTTTTGACCAGGCTACTTTGTCATACTGGATGTTATAAATCAAGTATCGCTTATGCCACCCTGGCCATGGGCCAAGCTCCGTCCCGTCGTCGCTCAGCAGCAGATCCCGCCGCTCCCAGGGACAAGCACCTCTGTCACTGCCATTGTTCCTGAGTTGTCCCAGGGAGCCTTTGCTCTGCAGCATGTCACAACACGCTTTCTGTCCCCAGGGCTGTCTTCTAGCAAGGAGACTTGACCCTTTGAGGGTCATTTGTCAGGGCCATTTTATCCAAAATGTTTGCTTATGGGTCAGAACGGGCAACTTCCTTCAAATTAAATCACACAGGATTGTTTTTATATCCCGCTAGGATTTTATTTTCATGAAAACATTAGTTTGTTTCATTTCTTCACAGCCACGACAAGGCCAACATGGCCACAAGGGCATTTGGTATTTAAATAGTTGGACCAGAAAAACTAAGGCAAAGATAAAGGCTGGTCACAAGGAGATCTTTCTCATAAGACAGTGCCTGCTCTGGCTGGTTGAAAATTAACTGTTGGGTGAAACTGATACACGTGTTCTTCACATTGTCACACATTAGTGTGGATCTTGCTCCTATTTTGGCCCTGAGCATTTTATCTTTTTTTTTTTTTTTTTTTTGGTTTTTTGAGACAGGGTTTCTCTGTGGCTTTGGAGGCTGTCCTGGAACTCGCTCTTGTAGACCAGGCTGGCCTCGAACTCACAGAGATCTTCCTGCCTCTGCCTCCCAAGTGCTGGGATTAAAGGCGTGCGCCACCAACGCCCTGAGCATTTTATCTTTTATTACAGTTATGTAATTTATTTTATTGGGGGGCTACATATGCCCAGGTACATGGAGGTTAAGTTGGGTAATGTGGGACCCAAGGTCGTCAATCTTGGAGGCCACTGAACTATCTCACCAACTTAAACAATGGAAGAGGATGGGTTTCCCTCCCACCCATGTGGACTGACTGAGGGTGTTCCCAGACATGCCCTTAAACCTGTATCATTAGGAATTCTGTAGCAGTGTAGTCACAAAGGACACCACATTGTCACCGGTTGTCATCCATTCTCAAAGAATAGCCAGTATCTGACATGATGGCTGCCTGAGAAGGACAGAGATACATGTTAGGTCTATTTCTATAGCTCCAGTCTGCATGCTCAGGCACTTTCTCTGTCTGTCTGTCTGTCTGTCTGTCTGCCTGCCTGTCTGCTTGCCTGCCTGCCTGCCTCCCTGTCTACCTGCCTGCCTCCACCCTGTATTGTACAGAGAATTGATAAGCCAAGCTGTGCTGTGACCTTCAGCTCTTCCTACACACAGCTTCTAGACGGTCCTACCGAATGCCTGCCCTTTGGCATGTAGGCTAGCCAGACTAAAAACCTGTAAAAGTCAGGGATTTCCAACCAGGGACAAAGCATTCAAACACATGAGCCTAGGGGTTATTCTCATTCAAACCACCACAGCTTCCTTTCCCAAACAAACCTTCCACTCTAACTGGCCACCTTCTGTTATAACAGGTGGTTATAACATGGGGTTATGGCCACTTTCTGTTATGCTCTTTGCCTGTAAGAGAGGTTTCTCATGATTCTGGAGAAGAATGTAGGTGTCCAGTGGGAAGGGAGAAAGGCTGTGAGCAGTTATTGTGTTGGATTCTTGCTTCTCATTCAGTGAGAGGGTTCAACTGCAGACTGAGGACTCCTCTGTTCTTGTGTTGAATGTTTTCTGTTTTCCATCTTGTTTCAATCATAAGGGAAGCCTGATTAGTGGGGAGATCAGAAACAAGGAACCCCAGGCTCTTAACCTGGCTTATTCCAAACTGCCTCTCTGACTTCTCTTCAAAATTTCCTCCCCTCTCCCTTCTGAGCCTCTGACTTCCATCTCTCACCAGGATTCACATAGCTACCCAGCCTTCTACAAGGAGATTTAATTGATCAGAACTGCAAAGACTGTGGAGAGTTTGGGGTGTTGCAGGTCCAGAGACTAATTACAATTTCCCTAGAGCTATCTTTAGCTCCCTCAATAGTCATTCCTTTCCTCCTCTATGTCTAAGATCACATCCTGTGACTCCTGGGAGAAACCTTGTGAAATGTATTCATTTAACAGACTACTAGCTTTCACTAACCTAACAGTTAAGTGTCATCAGATAACGCTGCTATAACCTACCTATCTTATGTTTACATAAATATATTTGAAAAGTGTCTGGATTTATGATCTTTTTTTTCTACAAAACCATCATGAAATTGTTATCTTATTGGAACATGGTATTTGGAGGAACCATGCTCACTAATATTTGACTTCAGAATAAACTACCTCTTTTATTCCTTTGAGATGAGAACTATCTGTTTCATTAATAATGCTGTAAAGACAGTCGAAGGCCTGTTGGTGTCGAAGGCCTTTATCCCAGCCCTTGGGAAGTAGAGGTAGGCGGATCTCTGTGAGTTTGAGGTCAGCCTGGTCTATAAAGAGAGTTCTAGGACAGGCAGGGCTACACAGAGAAACCCTGACTCAAAAAACTGAAACCAAACCAAACAACAAAAACAAACAAAATCCCCCCCCCCAAAACCTCCAAAGCAATAACAACAACAAAACCAGTCTGCTCTTGTGCCTTCCTCTTTGAGTCCAAACTCCAGCCCCAGAAAGATGAGGCCTAAGGTCGCTGGTCTGGTAACCGACTGGATGCTCTCTCCCCAGGCGGCTGACGCGGGGGGAAGACTTCAGATCCTGCTAACGCTGCAGTGGTTTACCTTCCAAATGGCATAGTGTCGCCCAGTACAGTCTTAAAGAGAAGCAAGGTTCTGAGTCGTAAACCTTCCTTGGTTCTTAGGTTCCAAAGCCGCTTAGCTGTTTACATTGGTCACCAGGCAATGGGTCTTCAGAATCCATTCACAGAAGCAGTGGGCTGGGTTGGGGGATTTTCAAGTACTCATCAAACTTCCTTCTTTGTAAACTGAACTTTGAGAAACTGTTTCCTAGTTACTCTTTGCCAAAAACTCAAAAACCCAAAAGCCCAAAACACACCCTCTAAGTCTATAGAGCTTCATATGTCTTCTCCCGGGCCTCACTCCAGGAGGTCTTACATCCTGCTGAGAAAGAGCCAACCACAGAACAGAACTCCTGGCATTCTCCAGAGTACCTGGCATGTTAAGAGTTTGGTGATGCCTGCTGGGCATTGGTGGTGCACTCCTTTAATCCCAGCACTCGGGAGGCAGAGGCAGGCGGATCTCTGTGAGTTTGAGGTCAGCCTGGTCTACAGAGCGAGTTCCAGGACAGCTTCCAAAACAATACAGAGAAACCCTGTCTTGAAAAACCAAAAAAAGAAAAAAGAAAAGAAAAGTTTGGTGACGCCTGACCAGCGCAGTGTGAGATCCTTTGAAACTAGATAAGAAGCTTTGCTTGGGAAAGTTCTTGAGTAGTTGTCCTGGTCTCCTTTTCTATAACTGTGATAAAACTCTGAGCAAAACTAACTAGAGGAGGAAAGGGTTTATTGGGCGTTCATTCCCGGATTACAGTCCTTCCATTACTAATGGATGTCAGGGCAGGAACCTGGAAGCAAGAACCACGGGGGAACCTGGCTTGCTTTCTTTCCTTCTGCTCATATTCAGCCAACTTCTTTTTTAAAAATTTATTTTGTTTTTATGTGTCTGGGTGTTTGCCTGCATGTATGTCTCAGATCCTCTGGAGCAGTGAGCTGCCATATGGGTGTGGGAATCGAACCCAGATTCTTTAGAAGAACAGCCGGTGCTCTTAATCACTGAGCTAAGGCTCCACTCCCGGGCCAGTTTTCTTATAAAATGTAGGACAATCTGCCCAGGGTAGAACCGGCCCCAGTGGGCTGGGGCCTTCCACATCAGGCCAATATGATGCAGGCAGTTCCTCACCCAATTCCCTGTTCCAAGGTGTTTCTAGTTTGGGACAAAAGGACAAAAACCAACACAGTACTCTTCTTGGGAACAGACACAAATACAGCTTATACAGTTTCTGGTTTTTGTAACAACAAAGATGTGCAATTATCATTGTTATTAAGGTTCAAGGCCTTGGAAGAAAAAGCTCATCTTTGATTGAAATGATAGCTTATGAAACAGTTGGGAAATGTGTAAAGTCCACGATGAGTAGGAAATATTTGCCTAGAGGGCCAACATGAGAGCACAGTGTATTGGATTAACTATGACATAATTCGGCTATTTTTACTCCAGTATGGAATCTAGGTAAAGGGTCATGAGATACGAGACATGAAATTCACTGGACATGGGACTTACATGTAGGCTAAGCACGTGCAGACAGCGCAAAACAAAACATCGTGGTGCACACTTTTGAAAGAGCAGTTCTAAGATTAGTAACAAGTGTCCACTTCTCCACAACGTGATGAAACTCAATTGCAATCTTATAGTCTTGAGTCTGCAACCTTAGGAATTTGGCGACTGGAGGTCTCCTTGGGTGAGAGGACTTTTAAGAGCGAGCCTTAGTCCAGTCCACTCTTCATGGGGCAAAGAGCACCTGCAAAACAGTACGCACAGGCGCCTCAGTCAAAGTCTGTCACTACTTTCGCTTTTGTTGCTTTGCAGGCTCTGAGCTCTCCTACTCAGCAGGCCCAGTGGGCTTAGACTGCAAGCAGCCAGCCGGCCGCTAGAGGATCTCTAACTCTACCCCAAGAAACCGAGGACCGAAGTGAGGAAGCAAAATGGTGGCCTTGTCTCTCGCTGTCCTGCGAACAAGCAGGTTATGCCAATGGGGCTGGAAGAATCGGGCGTGGCTGTCTCTGCCGTTCGGTCCGGGAGGCTGGGCCACTTGGGCCCCTGCGCGGACAAATGCGACGCTGAGCCTGGAACCCGCGGGCCGCAGCTGCTGGGACGAGCCGTTGAGCATCGCCGTGCACGGCCTGGCCCCCGAGCAGCCCGTCACGCTGCGCGCCGCCCTGCGAGACGAGAAAGGCGCGCTCTTCCGCGCCCACGCGCGCTACCGCGCCGACGCCCGCGGCGACCTGGACCTGGCGCGCGCGCCCGCGCTGGGCGGCAGCTTCTCCGGGATCGAGCCCATGGGGCTGCTCTGGGCCTTGGAGCCCGAACGGCCCTTCTGGCGCCTGATCAAGCGTGACGTGCAGACGCCCTTCGTGGTGGAGCTGGAGGTGCTGGACGGCCACGAGCCCGACGGCGGGCGGCTGCTGGCGCGGGCGGTGCACGAGCGTCACTTCATGGCCCCCGGGGTGCGGCGCGTGCCCGTGCGCGAGGGCAGTGTGCGCGCCACGCTCTTCCTGCCTCCAGGTGAGCGGCTCTCCACCTTCCCTTTGCTCAAAGTTCCTCTGTGTTTTTAAATGAAGAAAAAGGAGTCCGAGGGAAGGAGACTGGACCCGAATTGAAGGGTCTTGTCATGATGCTGCTGTTTCGCGGAAGCTGCTCCTTCAATTCCACTGCTAAGATAAAGGGCATCATAAGGAGAGAGACTCCTAATAATAAAGTTCGTAGTGTTATACCCACCTACCCACCCATCCTCAATTTTCTTTTAAAATTTCTTCTGTTTTTCCTTGTGGTGGTGTGCCTAATTTTTCAATATTTTAATCTTTTCTTGGTTTTTAGCTGTATGTGGAGGTTCCAGCAAATCAGGTGGGAGAATCAGCGGGACTCCAAAGCACTGATGGTGAAGCAATCAGCTCCAGGAGAGACCTTTTAGTGTACCACTGAGATAAACTTCACAAGACTGGGCTGAGGGCACTGGGTCTCATTCCCGGCACAGGGCATGGTGGCCCAGGGCTGTAATCCCAGCACTTACATGTCAAGGCAGGATATCCACAAGCTCTAAGTAATTTTGGCAACATAGCAATACTGGGTGATGCTTGGGTCTTTGACAGCCAGCCTCAAAACAAACAAACAAAGAAAAAATGGCAAAGTAGGCAAAACCAACGAAGTATTTAGATGCCACTTGTGAGAGGATGCGGAGAAGTGCCCACAAATCCATGGAACCGAAAGGGCTTCTGTCGCCTCAGTGCTATTCTGTTCCTGAGCAGGTGTCTGCGGGGACTTGCTGGGTTACCGTTTAAGTTGGGCAAGTGGGAGACAAGCCTCCTTATACAAATGGAAAAACATCAAGGAGGTGAAATAGTGCAGAGTGAAAACGCAGCCGTTTGGAGTCTATGTCCACTCACTTAGGAAGTATTTGACATTCTTCTACCCATAGGGCCTCTGTTTTGATTTATTTGCCAGGTGAAGGACTATAGGTTCATTGGCAGTCTGTGGAGATTATGAATGAAGTTGTTACACATGCTTGCACAGAAGTTTGTGTGTGAACCAAAAATTTCATTAGTGGGATAACTAAGTCAAGTGGTAAAAATAGGTTTGATTTTGTTTTTCCAAGATAGGGTTTCTCTGTGTAGCCTTGACTGTTCTGGACCTTGCTCTGTATAGATAAGGCTGGCCTTGAACTTACAGAGATCCTCCTGTTTCTGCCTCAACCACCCACTGCCTTCTACAGGTACATGGTTTCACATTACACCAGCATCGTGGGATGATGGTTCTGGCTGGCTGCACTGGCAGTTGGCACGATCAATTTCTGATCAGAGAGGATAGTGGTATTTGTGAATTTGAAATTAAATTTAGTATGCCACACATGCTAGATAGCAGTCTACCCCTAGCCCTTAGTGTATTTCTAATGTTAAAAGTAACATATGCTCTTTGTAAGTCTGTGGATTTCAGTCTTAGATATAGAGGGGAATGTGGGTAGAGAAGAAAGTGGGGGATTATCCTAGGCCACTCTGGATGCTTGGAGACAGGAGTTCCTTCAGCCTCCTTGTGGTCAGTAGAAAACATGCTCATCCCAGATTAAACAACAAATGCCCATTAATTCCACTGCAAACACATCTTAGTAATATTTAGTTCTGTTTCTTCCCCAGAACCTGGGCCCTATCCCGGGATCGTGGACCTTTTTGGAGTTGGAGGTGGCCTTCTGGAGTACCGAGCTAGTCTGCTGGCTGGGAAGGGCTTTGCTGTCATGGCTCTGGCTTATTATAACTACGATGACCTCCCCAAGGGCATGGAGACCATGCGCATAGAGTACTTTGAAGAAGCCGTGAACTACCTGCTCAGCCACCCTGAGGTTAGATCTCCCTCATTTCATTGGCTCCTGTCATGTCTCCTCATCAGGTGCTTGGTTCACAAGTGAGGAATGATGACAGCCTCTCTGTCTACTTCACAAAGAGCTCAAGGCCATTGGAGATTTCTAGGTTTGATACAAGGAAAGGGAAAGAAACAGGTAGGGCCACCGCCAGCCAGTGCTCCTTAAATGATGTGCTCAGCAGCCCTCTCCTGCCTGTGTCCCTGTGTCCCCGGGTTCCTAGGAGGCATAGGGTGAACTTGACAGGCAACAGCAGGAGACCAGGGCTCTGAGCTTTGCAGATCCAGCCCAGCACAGGCTGAGGTGGGAATCCTGCTTGTTTTATAATTTTATAACCAGAACTTAAGTGACCGGCAGCGTTGGCGCGCTCAGAGAAGCGGAGCTGCGTCTGGAGAAAGTTTGAGAATAGATCTTGTCCATTTCCAGCCCCACGACTTTGTCACTTCTGCTCTGTCTACTCCTTTGATAACCAGATATCATTTAAAAAAGTTATTGACATTGTGTGTGTGCACAAGAACCATGCTCATGACAGAGGCCAGAGGCCACCTTTGTGGGGTCAGTTGTCTCTTTTCACTTTTGTGTGTGTTCTGAGAATCAAACTTGGGTCATCAGGCTTGTGCAGCAAGAGCTCTACCCAATGAACCACCTCACCAGCCCTGATTTTACCAATTTCTAATTCTCAGACTTTGGGACCCCTGTTTCTTTTTTTAATGAACAGGGTAATTACCACATCACTTAATGGTCAGCCAAAGAGCCATTTGCTTAAAGGCAGAGGACGCTGGCATTCAGGGCAGGGGCAGTCGTTGTGCGACAGCACCAACCCAAACCACCCAGAAGGCACCGAGTAGGGATGAAAGAAAGGGAGCACAACAGACATCTTCCCACAGGTTTTCAGGGAACCAGGGTGCAGAACAAAGTCATAGCTAGTGTGGCCCGGGACACAGGGCTGTGAGGGAATAGAAGAGGCTCAGAGCAGGGAGGACCTGGGGACCAGCAGAGAGAAGTCGAAAGAGGGGAGGCAGGAAGTAAGTGTGGGAGGCCAACCCTGGAGCAAGATCATGGACAG